TACGTCAGTCTGAATGTTTTTTCTGAAGCTATTTAATATAAAAATTTATTAGTTCGTGTTGACATGATGATATACAAAGATGTTGCAAGTGGGGTGTAAAAACGTTTTCGAAAAGCTTTGGGATGGCGGATAATTTGGATATACCTCTGTAATTGCTTGTATTCGATTTACTTCCTTTCTTATAAAGAGGAATATCGAATAACTCCTTCCAAATAACCAAATCGCTTTCAATAATTTTTTTTTGCAATAAAACGGTACATATACTAAACCGTTTGTTATCACTTATTCTCTTTCAAATATTTTCTGTTAGATGTCTATACTCAGAACTTCTTTGTGTTGCCTTATCTCAAGTTTCAATCAGTTTTGTGCTCGCGTCTCAAGCAGACGAACGAAAGTGAATTGTGGTGAAATTAAAATTAAAATTACTACACTAAAAATCGGTTTTATCACTGAAAAGTATTTTTTTTAAGAGAATATAAAGTTTTCGTTCATAAAAAATAGAATTTGACTATAGGTAAACATCACATATACTCAGAGCTCGCAAATAACAGTCGACCGTTTCTCGTTGTCTGCAAATAAGTGTCTTTTTCTGACCCTTTACGAAAAGACTCGGAGAGCAACCGATTTATGGGTTCTTGAATGAGCTCGCTCGCGCTCAGAGCGAAACCGTTTATTTCTATTCTTTTTGGTTCTGGTTGTTCCAAGACCGTTTTGTCGTATTCAGTAAAGCAAAAGGTCTTTCGAGTTTTTTTCGTTAAGCGTCTGTTTTGCAGATATATCGAATATGGAATCAAAATGGATCTTGTTAACAAAAATATTTGTAAATAAATTTAAAATTCTGTATTAAAAAAATTATACTATTTCTTTTTCACAACAACGAAAGTAAATGTGAAGACCGTTTGCATTGAGTTTTTCGGTCAATCGGTCTTTTGCTGACTCTCATTTTGCGACCGTTTCTCATTCCGCTCTTTACGCACTGCTCATTGAAAGAGCGATATACAAAGATCTCAACGAAAAGCGCTCAACAGAAAACATAAATGAAGACAGCAACAGTCTCTTGCTCAGAGCGAGAGCGAGAGAGTATGAACTTTTTCGGTTGTGCTCGCAACGAGAGCGCAGGAAGAAAAACGGTCAACAGTTATTTGCGAGCTATACATATACTATTATATGCAAAAAACTGTGGACGCCATATATGGCTCTATATGCAATAAAGTAGTCAACATTCTTTCTAGTTACGTGGGAAGCTATCCTGTTACAACAAAAAAACTATTCAGTAAGAAAAATAAAAAGTATGTAGAAATCAACTCTCCTAAGGCAGTTGATGTTTACAATAATTATATGGGTGGCGTTGACTTACTGGATTCTTTACTTGGACTTTATAGAATTCAATTGCGTTCAAGAAAATGGTATAAGAAAATATTTTTTCACATGATTGATATGTGCATAGTGAATTCATGGATTTTAAGGCGTCGTATGTCAAATCAATATATGCCACTCTTCGATTTCAAGCTTTTAATAGCTGAGCACCTGTGCAAGGCAGGAAAAGTAAAGAAGCGCGGACGACCTGGGATGACTCCAACTTCATCCCCGTGTACAAGTAGGGAAGGTACTCCTACTACCAGCAAAAGACGAAAGCACCAGGAAATTCCATTGAATTCTGTTCGGGAGGACCATATTGGGCATTTTCCCACCTGGAAAAAGCAAAGGCAACTCTGCAAGAACGATTGTTCTTTCCGCTCATACACCTTTTGTGAGAAATTCAATGTATTTCTATGCTACAACGACAAAAGAAACTGTTTCACCAACTTTCACATGAAGTAATGTATACATGCATACAGAACCATATATGGCAAACTATGGAATCAGCTGAATGCATACAAAGCCATATATGGTTCCATTTCCCCCACCCCAAACTATGCCCCCACCAAAAAAAAAGTCCAAATATATATTATTTTGGCCTAAATAAACACATAATTACATTCAAAAAAATGTTTCTTTTATTATTTCTATGCTCATGCAGTAGAGGGATAAGGGTGAAGTGAGAAGTTTCCAAAGATAAGGTGAACAATTTGTGCAGAGGTCTACACAGAGTTTCAGCACAGTATTTAAGCACGCAGCCTGGAAGTCCATCTGGACCCGGTGAATAGACTAGCCTAACTTTATGGAGATCCAAAAGAAGGGAGCTTTCGTTTAACCTCGGACAAAAAATCAAGTTCGACTTGGATATGGCATATGAATAAGACGGATTTGGACGGGATGAAACGGAATATGTTGTCTGGGAGAACTAGGCAAATAGATCGGCAATTTTGGGGAATCGGGTTCAATTAGCATGCGACTAGTGAGCTAGCAAGCGCCACAAGCAGGTCCGTATTTTTACGGCGGTTTCGGATCAATTCCCTAACACTGCTTTTTGTGAGCCACCTAATAGATATTGCCCAGTTCTCATATATGATGCACTCATCGCAGTAGTAGCGTAGGCCACTCCTCTTATCGATGACATCACGAATCAGGCCAGAATAACCAATACCCTTTGCGTGATAAATTTTATTACATGTATGGCAAAGAATACTCAGCTGTCCAGTCGAGATAACTTTCTTGCAATTTTTTAATGAGCAGAAATCGATTATAACTCAGACCACTGTGCAACTAAAGCGGACAAAAATCGAAAGCGCTCAAGAAGGACAGAGCGGGATCAAAACACCGATTAACTTTGATGTTGGGTACCTCAAAACGAGATAGAACGAAAAGGGAGAGAGCGGGAGCGTAACACCGATTAACATCGATATTAGACACCTATGAGCGGGATCGACAGAGAAAGTGGTAGGTCATGAGCGTAACAACGTTAAGTTTTTCCGTTCCAACAACTCCGCAACGATGTTCAACTCCTCAATGATGTATTCAGAGAGGTAGAGAGAGAAATATTGCCGTTGGAGTGCGTGGCGTTCCAACAACACCCAACCACGGAGAGATATGCTTAAGGGGGAAGCAATAGAAAAACAATAACAACAAACCAGCACCGAAATAATGCTTAAAAGTTTCATTTTCTAAGCACATTTTAATCACGATGCACTCGGTAAGCTAACGGAAAGTTGTTATAGACACTTAATAGTGTAGATACGTTAAAAAAGACTTCAGTTAACCCCGGTGGTTTCAAATAGAAAATGAAAATTCGGAGCGCAAAAGAAAAACACGACCGTTCACTGAGAAGAGCGAGTTACTTTTCATTTTATTCTGTACTTTTATGAAATCATCATGATCCGAAGTTCCAGCCAACAATTTCCACACAGGGCCTAGCTCATTTATTCTTATTTTTGATCTAGCCGTGATTAACAGTGATAAAATGAATTTGATTACTTTTATGTCGTACTTAATTTCCCATTGTAACTTATTATTAGTACCCCTTTTTATATTATCTGATTAAAAATGTATTATTTCTTTATAAAACTTAAATTAGTTTCGTGAAATAAATCTGCATATTAATCGCACGTCAATACGTCTTTATAATCCTTGGATAAAAGATATTCGTGACTGGTATAGTCAATTATTTCTGATTTTGTTAAAGAAATTGCATGCGAGACGATTGTGTTTCGATGTCTCTCAAGCATTCGACCGAGTGTGACTTGGAGGCCTTATGCATAAAATCATTAAATTACTGCCAGAAAACACTCATAAGTTACTTAAGTCGAACCTCTACCACAGAATCTTCGCGGTAAGATACAATGAAACAACATCCAACGAGTATAACATTGAAGCTGGAGTTCCACAAGGTAGCGCACTGGGCCCTACTCTATTTGTCCTATTCGCAGCAGACATTCCTACAAACGACTGCAGACTACGTGCACATGTGCTAACAACACCGGAATCCTAAGCCCGTCGAGATGCCCAACCAGAGCAACAGCTCAACTAGCAGATCGTTTGGTGGTAGTTAAGAAGTGGCTATCAGACAGGAGAATCAATATTAATGAACAAAAGTGTAAACATATAACATATACTTTTAACAGACAATCGTGCCCCCGCTAACACTTAATAGTACGCAGACTACCAGCCATCGATGTAACATATCTCGGCGTCCACCTCGACAAACGCCTAACCTGGCGGATGCCCATTAAATGTAGGAAAGTATCTCTAACTGAAAGTCAGCAGCCTACACTAGATTATAAATTCTCTATTATCACTGTGTCTGGACTTCAAAATTCTGCTCTACAATTCCACCCTTAAGCGCATTTGGTCTTACGGCTCCCAACTTTGGGGGAACGCGAGCAACAGCAACGTTGACATTAGCGCTGAAGCTCACAATGAAAAATTTGCGTACAATCACTGGGGTGCCAAGGTATGTTCGGAACGAAAACATCCACAGGGATCTTCGCATACCGCCGCTTAAAAATGAAATATCAAAGCAGAAAGCGGCCTAGCACAACAAATTTACACTGCACCCAAATAATCTTGCAAGGAACCTAACACGGAACAGAACTCGCCTACATAGAAACGATCTGCCAGCCCACCAATAATTATTAGGGTCCTTTAGTCTAAAGTTATTCTTCATACCCGTTAGTTATGTTATACTTTTAAAAATGTTTCTACTTTTTGTTAGTCTCATTAAGGAGAAGATTCAATAAAGCAAACAAAAAAAAAGAACAATTGTCTTTTAGAATCAATATACCCCTTTTTTCTTAGTCGATTAACTTTTAAAAGCTTATGAACATGGGTCTTCCGCCAACGGAAATGAGGATGTTTTTGCGACACTGATATTTTTTCTTCTAAAATTATACAAAGTTGATAAAGTTTTCTGCCCGAAATTCTCGATCCCTACCTATCTATTCTTTCCCTTCGTTTTTTCTTTATGCCAGTGTGTTTGTCCGAGTTCTAAAATCTTTAAGATTTTTAAGCTTAATAAGAGGCAATAGAACTGCAAGTGGTGTCAAGTGGTGGTGTAAATGATAGTCGGGTCACTCGACTTAAGCGTTCCTTATTGTTTAATAATACATTGATTATTATTGCAGGAATGAAAAGTTTTACACTTGCTGCGACGAGCCTTACTTGGACATAACATTCAATATAACAATGAGAAGAAAAACGCTTTTTTATACAGTTAATATAATAATACCGTGTATGGGCATTTCATTTTTAACTGTATTGACGTTTTATCTACCATCGGATAGTGGAGAAAAGGTATGAAATAAACATTATATCTCCATTACGCTATTAAAATAAAAATAAATTTATATTTCTTTACCAGGTTACACTATCTATTTCCATTCTTATTAGCCTTCACGTGTTTTTCCTTTTGGTGGTTGAAATCATCCCTCCGACTTCATTGGTTGTACCTTTATTGGGAAAATATCTTATATTTGCTATGATACTTGTATCTATAAGGTAAAATTGAATCAAACTCCTTTATGTTCATATGATATTTTTAACAATTTTTTAAGCATCTGCGTGACGGTTGTCGTTTTGAACGTTCATTTTCGATCTCCTCAAACTCATAGAATGGCACCCTGGGTTAAGCGCGTATTTATTGACTTTTTGCCTTCATTTTTATTCATAAAAAGACCTACGTACAACTTTGAAACAAGGTAAGCATTGCTATATAACAAAAAATATATATATAAGTTCTGAAGAATACTCCAGGCGTAAATTACCATTTAGACATATATATATTTTCTTAAGGGCATAATGGATATTTGCTTTCATATGAAAATAAAAAAATAAATTACTTTAAAAAAAAAGAACAACTTTTTGGAATAGAACTTGCGCTGCTCAGATTTCTGGTCAGATGTTATAACCACTAGGCTTTATTAACAGCCGGAAATATAAATATTTATATTTTTTAGAGTTAGAATAATTAATATTCTATAATTTAGAAAACACTCCAATATTTTAAAAAACTTTTATATTTTTAAGGGGTTATCTGAATTTTGGTTAAGACTAAATTTTTAGATAGAACAATCGACCCGTGACCGCTTCGCTGGTCAAAAAACTGTAGAAAACATATATTCTTTTGCTAATTTTTTCATTTCAAAAATTAATTTTACTGCAAAGCATTATAATACACAATATTTTTTGATTTGCCATAAGTGCAATGAATAAATAGTGACGACGGTTTGCCTACTCGAGAGCAGGCTACATATAGTTGCCCAAGCGAAAATACTGGATTCTCCAAATTAATACCAGACACTTGTAAAGACTGACCTTGTGACAATTAACATGGGAAATACAAGACGAATCGGAAATTGCGAACGTTTAATTCAAATTTCAGGTCCTATGGAATTATTGGTATTCGGGGAATGAAAACATGTTCACCCTGCTGTAATATTCTCTTTACTAATCTGGTACTGTTACAAAGTTTGTGTTGATTATTATTGCGAAGCATAAAATTTGGTGCTTTAATTTTCAAATATGTGTGTTGGCATTTCTAGAACATCAAGCGAATTCAAAAACTCGGTTGGATAGTTGACCGATTTATCTGCATTTTCAAAGGTGTCATCTGACTTGAAACAACTTCTCCTTCCACGTCCCTTAAAATTGATAAGTTTATTGCGATGACATCGCCATTTCTTGCTGCCAATATTTCTCGCTCGCTCAACCAATCATAAATTGTATATTGTTTAAGAAAACATTTTTAATCAATTGTTGTTTTGATTGTAGAACAGTACTGAAATCTATTGGCAGTGTTATCAATATAGTCAAATTTTCAATTGGGACTCTGCCATTTCCGATATTCAACAATTGCTGTGAAAATAAATCATTGAATCTATGTAGAAAATGTAGAATAATACACTTCACATTCTAAGATTTGTTAAATTTTAATGTATTAACGAAATTACGAAATCTAGCCTTGCCACTTGATCAGCCGATTCCTGGCGTTTTATATTTGAACTTGAATGCGTGGCAATGCTAAATAATTATGTTCATTCTACCTTAAGCTATAATCGAGTGCAGAGCTATATACAAAAGCAGACCCTTGCAAATTCACGCGGGTCTGTTTTCGTTGAGCTCGAATTGCTGAACGTGAAATAAATTGTAACTAAAGTTTTGTTCAATAAAGTAATGATATTAAAAAATGTAATACTATTTTGTATTAAGAAAACGCGAACTTTGATTTGCAGTAGCTAAGTTTTTATATAATATTTAGTAAAACTATGCGAATTAAGCGACGACGAAAAAGTGTGGCGTTGATATAATTTATAATTTCTCTTAGAACCTATGCTAACCTAAGGGGCGCAAGAGCTAATGAAAGCTTTATTGGCCCCGATCTCGAATTACAAGGGGTCAGGGCTTCACCGTCGTTTGAGTTGCTGCTGAGGAAGTATAAAGGGCTGGAATTAAGGACGGACTCCATGAGAAGAGCAGAGTTCAGAGCTCCTGCGCGGTCAAGAGGATTTGACCGACGGTCTTCTCCGGAGTCCCGCGACGACTCACGAACCTTTGAAAGGCCAACAAAAAAGCATTAGTCGTTAAGTCCGCTTTGGGCGCAAAACAATTTGGGCGGAATACAATTTAGTGAGTTTGCTACGCAAACCTCTTGCATTCTGATAGGAAAGAAGGAGGTTAGAAGTTAGTTTTTTGAAAGTGGTACACTGGTTTGGCCTCGACTAGGAAGTTATACTCCCACGGGCCCCTTCTTCTTTATCTTAGACAACCATATTATCCGGTCAAAAGTCGCCGAGCATATGGCTTCAAAAAGCTCGTTAGGGACAATTAAAGATGAAAAGTCTCTAGCATAAGAAAACTTAAACTTTTCCACCTTTACACTATTACAATCGGCTTTAGTTTTGTCTTGTTTAAAGACAATACATCAGAAGATGTTTGATCAGGGGAAAGCCGAGAAACGAAAATTTGTTTCTTTAGTGAAACCACTGAAAGGGATTTTGGTGGAGCAGACATTGTTTCTGCAAAACCAGCTTGAGCCGGTTGTCCGGACTCAGTAGTCCCTTGTGGTGGTGATGCTACATTCTGAGAGGCAGGTGGATCCACTAATTGTGAAACCACTACGGATAAATCGGAATTCTTAGAAGTCCCTAGTTGCATGCATTCTGTAACGGATTGTTCGGATACCGAATCTTTTTTAGCTGCTGATCTTAGCAACATTTGAAGGTTTGCTGAAATCAGCTGCTGATCCGCCGGAATGCTCTGTTGTTCTTTTGATTTCGGTTGCGGGGTGTTCCCCTTTTGCTCCTTACCACCAGCGGCCTTTTTGCGCTTAGGGGACTCTTCTAATAGCTTACGACTATTAAACTGCGAGTCCAGCGCAGAGAGGAGATCATCAGCTCGGCGAAAACTATCTGTAGCAACTCCGAAACAGCTAATCAGCCCCATCAGGCCGCCTTTAGTTTGGCGCATAATCGATTTCATTTCGTTCGCAACCTCGACACAAGCATCACAATAAAACTGCAAATTGGGCCCCTTTGAAAGGTCATCACTTGTCCGGCCAGTAAAACCGGCGCACTTGGTGTGCACCATATTTTCACACAGCCAGCAAGTCATATTAGACTGGTCAGCCCTGATTACGAGGCTGCATTTTTTGCAGAAGCAGACTAAGTTTTTATTATTCATTTTATTTATTGGAACCACTGTACCAAGAAAACGAATTGAAATTTATAAGCGAGCAGTTATAAGTACCGCAAGAGCGCAGAAACTGCACGCTTAGAACTTTCAAATCAAAGAGAGCAAGAGAGCGGGAGCGTAAATAAGTTAAAGTGCATGCACAAAATCGAAACGGCGGGGATATAAGAAAAGAAAACACAGATAAGAGTTACGAAAACTAAAACAATTTATTAGTAATATTACAAGTGAACTCGCGAAGCGAACGGAGTTTAAATTTATGTTTGAATAACCGGAAGAAAATTAAAATGGTTTTGATAAAACCCACCGATGGGAATAAACGAAACAAAATACAAAATTCGAGGCGCAGAAAAAAACACGACCGTTCACTTTGAAAGTCAAAGACGAATATGACTTGCACGCTGGCTTACTTGTACGCTGGCTTACCACTAATACGAAACGTTGTGCTAAAGGGGCCACACAAATCAACGGCACAGATGTTAAACGGGCGGAGAACTCGAAGTCTATCTGCTGGCAAGTTCCCCATGAATTGCGTCAAGAGTTGTGGCTTACAGCAAAAGCAGCGCATGCACGAGCGAACTGTTCGTCGGCAGACTTCTTGAGCATTAACTTGGCAGCGTGGCAATTCGTAACGTGCAGATATGACACATAGGATCTGACGAGCTGTGATCTTTTATATGATGGACGTTGATGCTCTTCGAGAATGCTTGTTACGCTCGGGGCCCTATTTTCAATTTGGGCAAAAAATTCGAGTTCGCGAGGAAAATACATAAAACAAATAGAGAGAAGACACAAATGAAAATAAAAGGCACAACTAAGAGTAAAGCAAATGAGTTAAAATATTAATTTTTAATAACGGGATAGAAGTTGAAATGCAAATTAAATGATAAAGGTTGTTATAATTATTACATAGAACGCGAAAAGGCTCGTGCAGACAAAAATTTAATGTACATCGTGGCAAATTTAGAGGAATATAATGTTATAATGAATATAAGTTAGGCGGTTTACAAGTTCTGCAGAATCAATATCACCTCTTATAAGATTTTGCATAAAAATAGTACCAAGCATTGAAGAAATTTTTTTTGAACCGACTCAATTTAGACAGCAACAACGGGAACACCAATTTAATTAATTCTCCCGAATTTTACAGATATCGGCACTGAATTCGTGAATTTCAACAGTTTTCTTAAAAGCGAAATTCAGTTCTCTTGGCGAAATACTTTTTTTAAAGGTCTTCGACACTTTTCTGCAATTTTGAATAATGCGGAAAACCCATACCAAAACTCTCCGAAGCTTTAAATGCGACGAAAAGTATTCTATTTTCTTAAGCACATAATTTGGCTCTAGGCTGACTACAAGAGTTAGTGCCGATTTGCGCAATTCCATCGACACTACTTCAGCCGGCATTTCGAAATGTCGATTTACTAGTACTTCGAAAAGTCGATTTACAGGTCAATTCATTTTTGAGTCGAACAAGAACAAAGACTTATTTAACCAAATGGTCGTTATAAGCTCCTCAACGACACATCCACGGACACTATGTCTGCTGGGTTTACTTTCGTTGGAACGTGTCTCCAAATTGCGTTCTCCGATTACTCCTAAATCTTTGCGACCGAGTTTGACACCAAAATCGACAACGACGAAGGATGGGTTTGATCCACTGCAAAGTGATCTAGGAGTCTGTCCATAGGAAAACATTCTCAATAGGACAATTTAACAATAACCTGACACGATTAATCAAATCTGCTAAATGATGAGCTGCGCACAGCTTAAGGCGAGGCACGGTTTTTGTTTTGAGGGGAGCTACTTTTGATTTGGCGGTCAATAAAGACACTTTTAAACCTTTAGCAGTTCGAGTACGGACGTAGATGCACGCTCCATGATCTCGCATAGAAGCGTCAGCGAAATCGTGTATATGAATCGAAACTTGCGGTCCTGTGTGGAGGAATAGCGATACCTTAACTTTTGGCAGCTAAAGAATCGTTGCTTTAATGGTCTTACACGATGTAAG